TGAAAAATCCTGCATACGCCACTGCTTATTATGACTATATAAATATAGTTATTTGTTATGATAATATGTTTACTATAAATAATAGTTAACGTAGTTTTAAAGGTTTGAATTAACTAAAAAATATAGTTAAAATGGCATATTTCAGTTCGAATAACTATAATAACTTGACTATGATATTTTGATGAATCTGACTAACCTTATAGCTATCCCTATAGCAATTGTAATGTACAGTCAATCCTACTATTTTTATAGTACAAACAACTATTTTGTTTTTTCCGTGCACATTTCTAGACCACCTTACTTGACATAATATTTATTTTTTATAATATTATTATTTAAATTTAAACATTATTGTTGGTAGGTAGGTACATGTAAAAACTAAAAACTGAAGAAAAATATTATATAACAATAATATTATTAATTTTGAGAAAAATTCAGACTGAATTTCTTATAGTATTAAATATGTTAATCAAGGACTCAACGTTACTTAATTTGTTCATTTGTTATAAGCAAAATACGTTTTAAAAAGATTTTTTAAAAAAATTTAAAAAAAAAACATTCGATTAAAAAAAAGAAACTTCACTTATTACCTAATATAGAATTGAAGAATGTAAATTTAGATTTATTGACTAAAAATATATTTATATGAAAAATAATAAATTATGACTTCTTGGTGTTGTTTCTTTGAAAATACATTAACGAAAATATATTATAAAAGCAGGCTTTGGCATTGTACCTATCAGATACAAATTATTTCGTTTTTGATTAAAAAAAATAATAATTCATTATGTTCGAAATTATAACACAAATTAAGTATTTTATTTATGAGTACCTACTACTAAGTATTTTTAACACTCATAATATTAATATTATATAACTAAAAAATTACTTTAATTTGTAAATTATATTTTAATTCAAAGATAATATTATTACAGTTTTAAATTATAATAAAAAAAATTAATTTTTACTATATTATAGGTATTTCCTAATATATGATTTTTAATTTTATATTATATTGAGCGATATTGGCTTTTGAAATTCTATTTTGACGATGGTGGAAAATGGACAGTGGTGGAATCGGTAACCTATTTTTGGAAGGAAATGACTACGGACAAATGGACATAATATTATAATATAATCTGGGGCGTCATTTGGGTGGCGACATTACTTACAAGTTACAACTGTTATTAGTCGGCCAACATAAGACAATGACGCACGCAAAGGTACCAAGATATTTTTTTTGATTACCGTGATTATCACATTTTTGTGGCGTTTTTATTTTTTACACCATGACACATCATATTTATATTTTATGTGTTAACATAATATAACAATATATCATATTATATATTTATGTAATCCTACCAAAATAATTATTATATATATATTTTTTTTGTAACAACTAATATAAAGTAATAAAACAATAATAAAATATTCTATATTTGTACAATTTGTAAGTATTACTTGAATGTTTTATTTTTAATATTCCAAGTATATCGATATTCGATTGTCTTAAATTATTTTAGTTAGATTTAAAGTTATTTTTAAAATCATTGCCAAAAATCAATAACTCAGCATACTTTTTTTATCATAGGGTATAAATGTATAATAACTAAAAACTGAACTTTGTTGTGGCGGAAAATGGAAATAAACATTATTATTTATTATACGGTAAACGGAAAGGTCGATTTTCGCAGAAAAGTGGAACATCTTCTAGACACAAAACCGTACAGCAAAAAAAATATTATGATAATGATAATAATAACAATAAGGTTAAGTTTTCACTCAAAGGCTGCTGTGTGGCTCTATTAGTTGGCTATATGACTGCATAAGAAGCAAAGATGTAAAAATAATTTGAGCCAATATAAAATTATACTAAATATATGACAAAAATGCAAAAGATATTAAAATAAAATATATAATTTGTACCAATTTTAATATTTTATATATTAGGTACGACATTTTCGAAATCGTCAATAATAAAATATTAAGTAAAATTAAAATCGTGATAATAAAATAATAATATAAATGAATATAAAAATAACGAAACAAAATATGACACTGAGAGTCACGATCGTTTACTATATCATTTTACCAGTCACCACTAATAACACGAGTAGAATAATTTATAGTCATATAGATTTATTAATCTCTATTCTAGCAGAACATGTTTTTTTGGTACACCTCAATGACACGTCATCACCACTGGCCATTTCTTTTAAAAAACTGTATTTGTGTTCATTAAATGAAATGTATTTGTTTGTAATGCTTTTTGTAAAATTAATTTTCAGTTTATCTTACTTGATAGCTTAAATACTAACAATTTGGTGTTTTCAAACGATATAGTTCGACATTTAATATCTGAAATGTAGCTCACACACAGGTACCTACACACAGGCTAGGATGGCACTTTTGTACGATTTGATTTATTGTTTATTTATCTCGTTATGTTTTCCAATGTACCTATACCTATATAAATTATACGACGCATAAGACTCTAAAAATTCCTAAAATATACATGCACTTAACATTTCTAAAATTTTCATTAAATATTTTTTCTTAACTGATATTAATAAATAAATATCAACTAGGTAAAACAAGAATGACGTTAAATTAGACATGGACAATACTTAAGTCGGTACAAGTGGACACTCACATACTCGATTGGCACTCGGCAGTGCCGAAGTTGAGTTATTCAAATAGCTGGTAACCATATGGTATAAAAATCAATTGAATTTTTAACAAACATTAATTAAAAGAAAATGTGCAACATAACAAAAAAAAAGAAAGAAAATATGCAAACATTTTATCAAAATTTACCTAAAATATATATAGGTACATATTGTGTAATTTTCACTATCTCAGGGAATAGAAAACATGAATTGTAAATTCTACCAAAAATTCGAATCGATTAATCTTTTGACGGTAAGTACACGTTTCAATAATAGAAAAGTTAGTAACACAGAAATACAGACTATTCCATTTTTATTCTGAGCTTTTATTGCACTAACCTATTCACATTGCACACCGTTCTACGGTACGTCGATAATCGATATTGACTTTAAAGTTAGCTTATAATAATAATGATATAAGTTATATCATATAACATATGAAAAACAAATATAATACTTATTAATTTGTAATAACGGACTGAACGTCATACTTTGGAGTGATTACCAGATAAGGCGGTGGGTCGTTAAAAGTCCTGAAAAATTATTATTGTCATTCGAGTCCTTCAAATCTCGACGTCTACAAGGGTACCGACGAAATCATTGAAAACTTGTTATCACAATACATAGATATACCTACTTACTTGTGCAAATTACAAACACTATTATCGACTAGTGTCTCTCCACGATTAGGGTGGTGCAAATTACAAATTCCCAAATATTATACATTAAATAAGTACACGGGCATTGTAAGGTTCAAACTCGTACTTCAATAATTGCTAAGATTTACTCAGTTGACTTTAAAATAGAAGATTGATAAAATTATATTATATTAATGTAAAAAATACTACGATAGCCAAATTAAGATAAGTGCTGTGTTTAATCCATTTACTGCAATGTCGAAAAATAATACTGAAACGACTATAGTCAACAGGTGGTGTTATGGAACTATACGATATGACATGTATATAGTATTATAGTAATCACTAATCAGGAACTCTTATAATACCATAATATTCGATTTGATCATAATATATGTACCTATTATACATAATAATATTCTGCTGACTAGACTAAAAAATGTAATCGTAATCTAGGTTCGTGATTGCTGGGCAATTATGTGTAAATAATACATGGGTCGTTCATAAAATACGATTATTATTCAAAATAATCGCTATCAAAATAATATTATTACACATTTACACTAATATACATAATTCAATTTTGTTGGCCAACCACTATCTGCGCGTAAGTATAAACTATAAACTCAATTTTAAAACTGCAATTTTAGTACTTCATTTTCTACACTCTGCAGTGCATCTGCAATTATTGTTATCAACAATAATACGATGAAAAGTTTATAAAGCTAATACACACAACATAATAATATGTAAATAACCAGATAGGTATTTAAAATAGAACCGTGGTCCGACAAAATAATATAGTGATTGAACAAACATATTATGGAATTATTTTATAATATTTACGAGCTGATAATATTTTAAAACAGGTTTCTGAGTTGAAACTACGCTCTCATTAGGTCAAAACGTGATCGATTTGATTATAGTATTTAATATTTATATTTATGGGCGTATCGAAAAACTAAGTCAAAAAAATAAACACCAACTCCAATAATTCGAGCAGTTAACGGCGATATTTTTAGATTTTTTAAATCAGTAAGGTAGGCATAGTTTTTAATTATACGATTACCTAGTTGTTGTAAATATATTTTTTAATTATATTTATTATATATAACAAGTGCGATATTGCGATTTTATTCAGTCGATAGCACCGACAAAAACGGGTATCATTGTTTTAAAATGTAATCTTTTCTTAATTTTCAAACTTGTTGAATAATTCAATTCAATTTTTTAATCAACACTTATACATTTATTTATTTTAAATGTTGATAATATTGTTATGTATATAAATGTAGCATGTATCTCCGTTTCATCCATTCGTTTAATAACATTATGTATCGAGTATAAGTAATATTTTATGACTTTAAATAATTATGTTAAAAGGAATGTGCTATTAGGCCAATGGAGGAGAGGCCTCACATTCCGTTTCAACGTTTTCGGTTATTTTCACAGAGTTTCTTGTTTGTTGTAAATACACCCCCTGCAGATGTCATAGCATCACAAACCTATTCCGATTTTTGGTCACGAGAGGCATTTCAAATTTCAATTCCAAAGATTTTCGGCAATGCGTTTTTATAATTAGGTACGAGTTTTTTTTTTTTTTATTAGTTTTTTTCCGCGATTGAAAAAAAAAATTACAATCATTATCCGGCTAATACTACTAATGATAACGACTGATGTGATGTCTTACCTCCGTGTTTCCACTGTTGAATTTTGCAGTACAAGAAGCACAGACAGACGCACGCTGCGCATGACAGGGCCAATGTGGATAGGATGGCGTTGATCCAGACGTCGTTTATGACGATCTCGTCGTACATGAGTCGGCCGTGCACGTTGACTGCTCCACGATGGGTGCCATTGCGCTGGCCACTGCGGGCCATCGTGGCCACCACGGTGGTGGACGTGGCCGCGACGATCGTGTGCGCGGCGGCCGTTGTGGTGGCTGATGCCAGTAGAGAGGCGTCCATCATATAATGTTGTGATAAAACGATGCGTGGAAATGGCGACACTGTAGGCGGGGTGTGAACGTCCCAGACCTAAGACAGGCAAATAATAAAATCGTAAAATATCATTTAATGTTGTTGACTTGAGTGTTTGAAGTCGGAAATATTTTAACATTTTGTGAAATATTGGATTTTTATATTATAAATATTCCACTACGCTGCCTTACAATTAATATAAGTTTCCCACCAATTCGGGAGATGATTGGTCAACAGCATTATATTTTTTTAACGTGTGATCGCAGTTTAATTTCACTTAAAGCACAAACAAATGGCATAGTTGTAGTTTAAACATTTTGCAGTGGGGGTTCGGCCTCTGGGCACATGCAGCTGTGCAGGCGAGAGGTGTGGTGGGGTCGAGCCACCCCCACATCACCAAACTATTTAATAGTATCCCATCACGAGCAGTGTTTGATATTATTTTCTCGCCACTATAATATTATATATCACCACCCTTCGTTAAGTTCTATCAATACCCGAACTTTGGAAACAGAGGGGAAATCCCCGCAGGAATAACTAAAGACTATATGGTATACAGCAAAAGACATAATTCATCTGCCTCCTGACAGGACCAACTATCTGAAATTGCGCTATAAAAATTCTATAAAAGTATAACAGCGATTACGCCTTTTTTACGGGGGCGGGTTAGTAGGTAGTACTGTAGTAGTTGTAGTTCAATATCATTAGGGTATATACTCATTAGTTATTATTAAAACTTAAAAATTAGGGAATTTTTGACTGGTGTAATCATTGTGGAATCTTTTGTCAAGCAATTTTATTTTTTGTGGTTCACTCGCCACTGTTAAATATTCATAAAATGTTTCTATTCCATAATTTTAAATAGTATACCATAATAATATACTATACATATTATATTATTAAATATAATAGCTGTTTGTGTAGTTTAATATTGTCAAAGCAAATGTTTCAATAATTTATTATTCATTATACCTAGTGTGATTATGGTAATTTTATTTATAAATATTATACAGAACTTGAGTAAAATAGCATTTTATCGAAATGTCTGAGGGGTATATTATGTTAATCTGAAATCCAACATTTTGGATAGCAACAAATGCCGGTGGTTGGTTTGACGTTGGTATTGTCAATTCAGTTTTGATCGTATATTAGATTTTGAGCGTAGTGATGAATTTTTTGATTTTATAATGATATGTGTGTCTTTTGTCTGTAAACACCTTTTCATGTAGAAAAAATGATTTGATCATCAACTTACATGTGTGTCTGATAGAAAATTAAATCTAGTTGGTATTTTAAAAAATTGGAAAAAAACAAAAAAAAAATAAGTAAATTCGTAATATTATTAAAATAATTGTCTAGTAATGTTTTGTAATACAAAGTTCCTCATTATAGTTATTATTATAGGTAGATAACCTTTTAAAGTTTACAGTTTACATTATGAAAAAATTTATCGAAATCGCGAATCTTGCAAATGATTCTGCAGTAGTTAAAATAATAAAATGTTCAATTTGTATTGAAGTTTCAACATTGAATACATAAGGTCTCTCATAAGTATTATAAGTAGTTTATACTATAACTAAAAAAACTCTGATAATTTTAGGATAATACTATGTAGGTATGCAAGTACAATGTTTTTTGCAAACAAGAATTCAACCTATATCTATTATTATTAATAGCAATATTAATATATCTATTATAAAATATCCTATAGGTGACCAGTCTCCTCTCAGAATCGTTTTCTTGAACAAATTTGTATAATATTATCATCGAATTCAAATTACACACATCTATTGAAATATGACCCATTCGATACCAAGATAAGCAACATGCTACATAATAATACCGATAAAAACAACATATAAATTAAGGAAAAACATTAAGTAAAGTAGGTAATTCATATTGAAACCAATAAATCTAAAAATATATAAGCACATTTTTTTTCATACATATTGTAAGTTCGAGTTTGAGAAAAATTATATAATTAAACAAAGAATAGGTAACGATCTTAGTTAATTTGTTGTGATTTAAAAATATTGTTCGTGGATACTGGAAACTTTAAAGTATATTATTGGATTTTACACACAGTACTACACAAAGACATTTTCAAATGCAATGCTTTTGGCAAACATTAATTTAACCTTCATACTATATTACTACCTAGTAGTAAAATAAATTACTTTAATCACAATAATATCATCAAAATATTATATACTTAGTAATATGACCGTCTTCGCTCAAAATCGTTTTTCGTATGCAATGTTATTATGTCATTGAATACAAATTTAACACATCCATTACAGACACCCACTAGTCACCTACTGCACGTACATTAGACCGGTAGGTACTTGACCACTGTTTTTTTATATTGTAATATTTTATATACCTACTCATAAATCACTTGACAATTTGAATACCATAAACAACCAACGTACAAACACGCAGATAATGGTCTTATTAGTTATTTAAATTTAAAGTTTAAGTTTGACAACAAGTCAATTAACTGTAATATATAAGCTAATAACAGTAAATTGATTCTGCTTAACTCAAAATTTTCCACGTTAGTACGTTACACATTAATACGTTTGTAAGACGGAGACAACAAATGCGGGTGTGGTGTCTTTTTAAGTAAAATAATATAATATGTTCAACCTTTAATTACACACCTATTTTATTATACAATAGTGCATGTTTTGATTAATATGAAATATATAATTAAGTACCTATTAACTATCTACAAAACTAATTTTAATTAAAAATTCATAAACACTGAGAAAAATAGTCTATAGTGACTTGTAAACATTTCAATTGAATGTGTTCATATAATAATAAAATGTAAAATGGGAAATATTATATTTTGAAATTTTAACAATAACAATATTTACAGAACTTGTTTTATTATAGGGTCTAAGTATTACTTGGTGTATAATAGATATTATATTATAGTATAAGACATATTTTGCAAACTCATTTATTATAAGATGTGCAGAAGTCGATATTTTTGTGTTATATTTGTGTTGTAAGTAGCTCATATTTATTCTTATTCAAATATTAAAATACAAACACAATTATTTTTTATCAAAGTAAAATATTATCATTTGCCAACCACTGCATAATCGTATTATATTATGTAAGCTCTAAAAATACTAAGAGAAAAATATTCGAATAAAAACATCGTATTTTTATATAACAGTAGCCAGTAGGTAGTCAGTAATTGGATTTATCGTCGTGAAAATCGATCACCCCGACTTATCGAAAGGTATATAGAACCCTACAAAGAACTAAATTTAGTAAAAAACAAAATATATCATTACTTTTTCAGAGTCCAATATGTGTATGGCGATGTTGTGTACGCGCATTGTCATATTATATAGTTTTTTTTTTTAAAGATTTAACTTTGTTTTTTAGGTACATTACAATGTAGTTCACACCTACCCACCTGCACCCAGAGGCGTCACAAACATTTCATCGGTGACGGAAAATATTGAAGGTATCTGCATCCATCCACACGTCATACAGTTACAATATTATTTTACAATATTGATTAATATGAATGTAACAGGTTATTATTACTTACCCTAGAGCTTGCAATAATAGGTAAATACCCTATGAATACAATATAATATCTTCCCAATTCCCTAGTTCCCCATCACGTATCCATTTACTGACTCCTATAGCGTAAAACAATAAAATATACCTGCTATGGTATAATGATAATTTATTACACTGAAATAAAATCAACATATCAATAATAATTGATAATAAATGATAATTTTAGTTGAAGGGGGCTGCAGCAGGTTTTGTCAAAAGTCGAAACTAATGTAAATTTGACCAATCTAAACATTAATCTTGTTTGTTATAGTGTTTTTCAATATATTTAAATTCCGTATCATAAAATAAACCTTAAGGGGGCTGGAGGGGGCTCCAGTCAATGAAAAAAGTGACTTTTAGACCAATAAGCTAGACAAAACTGGAACAATTTGGTTCAACAGATTTTAATTTTGAAAACGGACTATGATCGATAAACAAGTTTACTAGGGAATGATCGAGGCGATTTTGAATATTCACATTATTGTTAGTGTCATAATGAATAATATAAATACAAAAATATCATATTTTTTCGATATTTTTATTCTAGGATATCACAGCTGAAAAAAAAATATTCAAAATCTCCTCGATCATTCCCTAGTAAACTTGTTAATCAATCATAATCCGTTTTCAAAATTAAAAACTGTCAAACCAAATTCTTCCAGTTTTGTCTAGCTTATTGGTTTAAAAGTCACTTTTTTTAATCTGCTGCAGCCCGCTTAATATAAAAATATTTGTACACCCCAACTACCCACCCACTTAAAATTGTTGAAACTGCCCCAAAAAAATATGTTTTAAGCGCTACAAACGCATCTACCCAAATAACGGATCGAGTAAATTCTACATGGGTCACCAACTGGTATCCGTTACAGATCCGGATAAGGACCGCCAACACTTTTTTTACGGACTATTATCTAGAGTAGTATTTTCATTTTTGTAGTATAAATATAAAACTGTACGTGTGTTTTATAAAATGTATACTACTAAAAAAAATGGTCACACTAAAAATGAAATGTTTTCTTGTACGTATGATCGTATTTTTTTATAATAATTTTTTTATAGTAATAATATTGTTAGAATAATTAATAAATCAATTAATATAAATACAAATTTAAAAAAAATGTATTTATTAATGTATGTAAAAGTCTTTAAAACTGTTTGGAAAGTTTGTTAAGTTTCAAAACGGACCTCCATAGAAATTAGTTGATGACCCCAAATATCGGGCAATTATCGGTCTACTTCTTTAGTCACTCGCGCTAAGCAAGCGTTCTAAAATTATAGTCTACAGGCTGAATGACTGTCCTAATAGACGCAAACTCCGACATGGCCGCAAAGGCCGTCCCCGAGAAGTTTTAAATTAGTCTATATTATTAAAGGTCGTCCCCACGAAGTTTTAAATTAGCCCATATTATTATTGTAAAAAAAAAAATTTAAAAATCATAGTATAATTTAGGAAATTCCCCTCCCCTCCG